TTCATGCACAGAGACTCCAGTCGATACCTTTGTGAGCTGCCGGTCGGGCTGCGTCTGCGGCCTCTTCATCTGACATCAGAGACACAAGTGACGTCACTGGACACGCTCACCACTAGAGGGTGCTATAGTCACCACCACATACTGAGTTTTTGTAACCTAGTCTGAGACTCTGTTCCATCTGAACATCAGTTCCTAACTCTGGAACAGAGGGATCTACATTTGGAATCACTAGAGAAGAAAGAAAAGAACAAGAACATGAACCAACACCAGGAATATTGGAGAAAATCAAGAACTGATCAATGACTGAGGACATTGATCTGGGATCAGGAGACACTTCAGTGAAGTTGATGTTTTCTTACAGCTCTAATTAAGCTGGGACCTCGTTAACAGACCCCGGGTCGAGGTTAGAACCACAGAACAGTGTAGTTTCACCGACAAGAAGTTGTGAGGAGCTGAACGGTGGAGACGACGTGAACTGATATTGTCAACTATAGACAACAAACCGTTGCTGGTCCATTAGTACAAGGTGAAGACAGTCTGGTCAGTGAAGTACTGAAGTACTGAAGTACTCTGACTGAGACATGAAGGGACATCTGTCTGTACAGGTATTCATTCTACTGCATATACCCGAGTATACCTGAGTACTGTGAAGTCCACCGCAGTAACAATGACATTACTGTTGACCTCTGGTCCTGAAGGTTGACCTCTGGTCCTGAAGGTTNNNTCTGGTCCTGAAGGTTTGGTCCTGAAGGTTCTTCTGACCGTGTTAACTGACCTGAACCACTGTGGATCAACTGTCAACTCTTCACAGACCACACCATCACTGCTACGCTACACCCAGAGCAACGATCGCAGAGCAACGATCGCAGAGCAACGATCCCAGAGCAACGATCCCAGAGCTCAAACTCCCGAAAGTTGAAAACTCAAAACCAGTCTTCGAATGACAAAAAATACAAACTTGTGCTCAGAGTGGGGAAAAGGTCAAAGGTCAAACTCTCTTTTCTAAGAGACAGAAGCTGCAGCAGCTACAAAACCAGTCTTCGAATGACAAAAAAAATACAAACTTTTGCTCAGAGTGGGGAAAAGGTCAAAGGTCTCTGAGGGACCAGTGGACTCAGGTGTCAAGACCAACAGAAGAAGTTCCTGTTTCTAAAGAACACCACGTGGACAGGTTGGTTCCTCCTCCTCCTCCTCCTGGAGGAGCGTGTCCTCACGGCCGGAGCTCCAGGCTGGTTCTCAGGTAGAACACCAGTCCGTGGAAACGTCTACCTTCCTGGTCAGAAACCGTCGGCCGAGGCTACTGGTTTTGGAGGCCAACAATGATGACCTTCTGACCCCGGTTCCCACTCATCCTGGCTCTTCTTCTGTGTGACCCCCTGTCATCATCATCATCATCATCATCATCTTCATCATCATCCTCTTCATCGTCCGGTGGCTGTCCTAAAGCCGAGCGCTCCTCCTCCTCCTCCGTGGCGTCCAGAGGATTCATCAGGCCGTACAGGAACGTGAAGAAACCGTTGAACCAATCAGAGCCGCCCTCCTCCAACCAGTCCAGAACCTTGTATTCACCCCCACCATCGCCTACAGTGGAAAAGCCTGCTCCAACAGGAGAGGGTGAGCC